TTATAGAATGGACTTAAGATACTAAATGTCACTTTATTCCCAGTTTATAGATAAAGGAACATGTTGCTAAAAGATATCTTGATAATTGCATACAAGTAAATAAAAGGCAGAACTAGGATGAATATAATATCAATAATATATATAACAGTCTACTCTTAATTGGATGCAGACTGCTCTAAGAAGCAAAATATGGATCAGGAAGTTATGAGTTAGATGCTCTTAGTCACCCCAGTTTACAGAGGAAGTGACTGAGATAAGGGGAGGCTATAGAATTTACTTCATGCTCACAGAGCTAAGAAGAGACCACTTCAGCCTTGGCTCTAGGAGATATTTTACCACTCCAAAATTCATATCCAATATTTCTAGGATTAGCTGAGATAATTTTTATTAAACCCTAACTGAGAATCTGACATCTAAGAAGGATATTATAATTTATCTGTATCTGCGTTGAGTTTGGGAATTATTGAGCTCCTTGAATTGTCTTTTGCAATTTCAATCCTCATTTTTATCACAGTTCTCCAAGAGAAACAAAGTTCAACATATGTAATCTTTTTGGTAGAAAACAGTAGAGCTCAAGAAAGGCATAACACATCACACAAAGCTGCTAGATTCATTTGGAATGAAGCAAAGAGAATTGTTTACTTTGCAAAAAATAATTGAATGCTCATTCCTTCATCTACAGTATAGCTCATAAATATATATTTGTATAAAACAATAAACTTTCTATAATTCTTCTACAATGTTTAAGTATTATTTATGTATACTAAACATATTTAAATGTTTAATGATATATGTAAAAATTGGCTTAACAAATCCAAATAATCCATGAATAACATATGGCAGAATGTTCAATATCTTCTGCCTTTTTCTTCTCCATGCCATGTAGTTGATTTATACCATCCAAACTTTTTTCTAACTCCTTGCAATTTCCCTACCTATTTCTTTTAAGTATTGGAATAAAATGTGTTTGCCCTGAGATTCCTTACATTGAAACAACTGTAATGAAATGTAGCCTCCAATCATATACATCATTCACAGAGACCATGAACGTTTCTATATTTTTTCTATGTTACATCTTCCTTTATGCCATCAGTGTCACCACAAAGGGGGATAAGCAATGAACCTCATAATAAAGAGAGATATTTACTCCAGAACTTAAAATATTTAGTTGTCACTATAGGATCTCATGTCCTATTTGAACTACTATGAGCAATTAAGTAGACCTGGTACTTAATTCACATCTTTTGCAAATGTTTATCCATGAAACTGTGGCTAAATGGGTATTAGTTATGTGAAATAAAGAATTCACTTGCATCAATGACACTCTTTTAGCAGGACTTGTCAGTACTACTTTTGTGCACATGGACCAGCCAATGTTTAAGAGTAAGCAAAAAGCTTTCTAGGACTAGCAGAGCTGTCACAGAGTGTTCACAGAGTCATCTAGAAATTCTTGGATGTTAACACACCTCATCCATTGTGCAGCCTTTAACCAACCCCAGGAAATTATGGGAAAAACTTCCTAGTTCTCTTGCCTCTCAGTTGGGGTAACATCTGCTGCATATTCTGTACATTCTCCCATAGTTCCCAAATAGAATTCAACCCCAATCTTTGAAATTATTTTCAACTTACTATGTGGCACAAAAACCAGTGAAATTTGACTAGGTAGGCATTTTAATTCATTGTATATGCAAACTTCCCTTCCTCAGAACTGTTTATAGACAAGAATTTCTAGAAACACTTGTATCGTGGGCCCTATTCTTTCCTGTGGGGTAAAAGTATATAGCTTCTCTTCTTATTCCCCTCTCTCCTGGCTCAGCTAACCCTCTATTGGAAATAATTACAAAGGAAGAGAAGTAAGGCCTTGTTTAGCACTCTCAAGAGAATCTCTTCTCTCAGAAATGTTAAAATGATAGTGAGCATCATATATACCCTGCTTGAGATATTTCACAAGATCTGAGAGAAAAGAACATTTTAAGATTCCAGAAAATTCACTTTAAGTCACCCTTTTAATGCCAAAACCTGAAAGGAACAGGTCATATGGTCAAGAGACATAGAATTAATTATCCTGATTCATTTGAGAATAGCTGATCTGGGAATATACATGGAATCCTACTGTGAAAAGCTAAATTGTATACCATATGCTTAGTTTCAAAATGGAACAATGAAGCTGATGTAAAAAATGTGAAAAAATTAGTTTCAAAGTAGGTAAGACTCCAAGAAATACTCTATCTAGTACTAATTTCTCAACTTCCTTATACCTTACTCTGTGCCGAACACGCATACACAAACAAATGCACCCACCTATAAGAAAACATGAAAACTCTGAAATTCAAATGTGTTAAGAGCCTATTATCACTTAAGAGAAAAAAGAAATTAAAATTTAAATCAATATTTAGGTCTTCCTTTTCTCTCTGAAGAGTTAAATTTATATTAAATCAGTCTACATTTTTGTTAATATGGGTGCATATTAAAAAATAAAAAATTCAGTTGCTAAGTCTCCTCTTCTTATATACCCTATGCTAGATATCCATTTCCTGCAAATGTTTCCAAGGAATCTTAAAGAATATTCACTGTTAAATCTTGTCATTTACTTTGAAAATAAATATTTCTTCACTTGAAGTTCATACCAAGTAATTTAATAATGCATCTAAATGTAGGCTGCCTTGATTTGCAAAATAAATTTCCAAGAATACTATTTGTAATAAACATCAAATCTGTCTTTCAATTCACTTTTGTTGAAGAGTGCACAGGTTAATTCTTAGGAGCTTAAGAGTTATCTGGAGGTAAAGATTCTGTGAGTATGAACAATTACAGTCTTTTATATTAAAAAGTAAAACTGGGAAAATAATAAGGAATATTTTAAACTACTTTTCTTACAGTATATCCATACATTACTCTTTCAATTTAGCCTTGGTAAAATCATATGTGTACTTGTTTGGAAAGAACTAAACTTGAAATTAAATAGCATAGATTGGGGCTGGTATTGTGGCACAGTTGGTTAAGCCACCACCTGTGATGGAGGCATCCCATATGAGCTCCCACATCCCACATGAACACTGGGTTGAGTCCAGGCTGATTTGCTTCTGATCCAGGTCCATGTAACACTCCTGGAATGATAGTGCAGGATAACCCAAATGCTTGCACCCTTGCTGTCCATGTAGGAGACACAGATGGAGTTCTAGGCTTATGACTTATGCTTAGACCAGCTGTGTCCATTGCAGCCATTTGGGGAGTAAACCAGCAGATGGAAGATCAATCTGTCTCTCTGTCTCTCCCTCACTGTAACTCTGACTTTCAAATAGACAAAATAGTCTTTAACAAATAGCATAGGTCTGAATTCCTAATTTATAACATACTAATTATAGAAAATTAAGTCAAGTAGTTTCTCTATGGCATAGTCTCTTTGTCTGTAAAATGGAACTATACTGCTGTCGTCTCAAAATTTCTTCAAGAAATTTAGAAGGAACTTATGTGTAAGAATCTGGCTTGCTGGAAGTTTAGATAATACAAGGCTATTTCAAAAAGTTCACAAAAAACTGAATTGAAAGATGCTTATTTTGCTATAATTTTTTTATAAATTCATGCATAGGTTTTTCTCATAGTACCCATTTTCCCTCAGATTTGTTGAATCCAAACCAACATTAAAGGTAGAAGAACAAAGTAAAATATTATACGCTGACTGCTAACATTGTAGCTGTATTTATATCAATTTAAAAAAAACCCTCAAGCTCTATTGAGCATAAAGTGTTACTGGATCCTTAGGAAGAATCTACTAAATATCTGAAAGACATTAAAACTCATCCCCACCCCACATTTGGATTTTGACAGTTATTTGTTAAACTTTTAATGTGTATACTTCATTGACACTAAAATGCATGGTCATCTGTATGACTAAGGCTATTCTGACCAATTCCAGTGGTAAGCATCAGAATGATCTACCAAGTAAGTATTGAATCCAAAACCAAAATTAGCAACTTTAACTGCCTAAAATCAGCAAATTATAAAATGCTTGTGATGGTGATAATCATAAGTTAGTGCCAGTAGTAAAAACTCAACTTCTCAGCCAAATAAACTCATAAAATATCTAAAAAAGCTCCTCTCTCTCTCTCTCTCTCTCTCACACACACACACTATAAAAATGAAGCAAATATGAAAAAAATTGAAGTAAGCAAGTTCTGTGGGAGATATCCATAATTTCACTACCAGAATATTCCCATCAATCTCCTTCCTCAAAGTTCTACCAAGAAAATAAAGTTACCTTTCTCTGAATTTGAACTCACTGCTTTTCCTATAGACTTTTCAAAATGAGTAACACCTTCTGCTTCAGCCAGTCACTTTAAAGTTGTGTCATTAAAGAAATACAAAAAAAGTACCGATTTGGGAACAAAGGATGAAGAAGAGATGAAGTAAATCAATATTGCTTTTCAGTTTAACTGCCATCACATTTTTAAGCCTTCTAAAGAGTCTAAAGTCCTTTTAATAAGATTATGGAGAGGACCGAGTTGGGGGGGGGGGACCTCCATTAACTCAGGTGGTGCCCCCAGACAAAATCTGGGAGGAAGGAGTAGCACCCCCACTTGGAGGGCAAGATTGTCCTGTCCCATTGTGCACACAAATCCCCTATTTCTACACCTTCCCCATCCTTCATCCTTCGGCTTGGCTTAGAAAATTGGACACGAAGCAAGGAAAAGGAGGAGCAGGAGGACGAAATGGGCTTCTGAAAACATGAATTTCTGTCTTAAAATATATAAATATATATCTAACACGTGTCTTTGGGGGACGTTTCCTAAAAGCCCAGTTCCTTTAGCTAGATTACCTCTGAATCTCCACCCTGACTGTGAGGCTCACAAGTGCCCACCCCCACTCCGCCCACCCCCAACCTGTGTGGCCACCCACCGGGAAGACACAGTCCTTGACTTTGGGAAACCTGAGCTGGGCAATCGCGCTGAATCCACGCCCCTGGTTCAAGACCCCTCGGTACACCTCTCCCCGCAACTCACCTGGAGTCAGGACTAGACCGCAACGTCTGCCCAGAGGGACTGGGAAGCAGCGCAGAGAAGCTTAGCAGTGTCTGCCTGCATAAGAAGGGCAGTGCCTTGGAATAGCTCCCCCCAGAATCTGCTGCTCAGGCTGCTCCCAGATTTCTTCCACTCCCTGCCCGGGAGCCGTCCTTCCCTTTCTCTCTTCCTCCCCCGCTTGCCGAGGCTGCACTTCCTTCTCCTGGCGTTGGTGCAGAGAGCGCTCCTCGCGCCTCCCTCTTTCAGGCGCGCGAGCTGTCCGTGGTGCTGACGAAGAGGCTTCGGCTCCGGTGGGGCAGGGTTGCGCACTGTCTGGCTCCGGACACCAGTCTTGGGAGCAGAACCGCAAATATGGCTTTAGTGGCCACTAAAGAAATGGGCTGAAGGAGGCAACCAGCTGGACTCTACCATCTAACACTCCCTCGACCACATATATTATTGGGCAACTCCATTTAAATAATCAATAACCTCAAACTTCTTCCTAATATCTCCAGTAACTCACAAGTGCCAAAAAGTAAACGAAGTGGTTGAGCACGTCCCTGTATGGATAGCACTCTCTGTACAGAGACAATGACTTGGCTAGATTCTAGGGCTGAATAGTTCAAGGAAGGGTATAGGTTTCTATAGGGCAGTTATTTGGACACATGTTGGATGTTCCTGGGAAACTGTAACTAGCAATGTCCCAATCATGACAACTCAGTTTCCTAATGGAAGTAAACTGAGACTGAGTACCTGTCTCTGTTTAGTAATCCCTTTTTTACTCAGTTCATATTTACCACAATCTGGTGAAAACAGTACTACCACTTCTGTTTCATAATTTAAGAACTAGAGATAGGGGCCAGCACTGTGGTGTAGCAGGTTTCGCCACTGCCAGCAGTGCCAGCATCTCACATGGATACTGGTTTGAGTCCCGGATGATCTACTTCCAATCCAGATCGCTGTCAATATTCCTGGGAAAGCAGTGGAAAATGGCCCAAGTGTTTGGACCCTTGCACCCACTTGGGAGACCAGAAAGAAGCTCCCAGATACTGGTTTTGGTCAGGCCCAGCTCAGGTCATTGTGGCCATTAGGGGAGTGAACTAGTGAATGGTAGATCAATCTCTCTCTCTCTCTCTCTCTCTCTCTCTCAAACTCTCTCTCTCTCACACACACACACACTGTAACTCTATTGTTCAAATAAAATGAACAAATCTTTTAAAAACCCGGAAATTAATCTGCTAAAAGTCAGAAATTCTGTTTTAAGTTTGTTTGCTTAATATGTGAAATCTGTTTTGCTCAAAAGCAGTACCTGTGTATGATGTCCTGGAGTGTCTTAGATGGCACTGTTTAATCAACCAATAAGGATAATGGAACTATCAATAACTACACCTCAAGAGACTAATGAATACACAGTGAGATTTGTGAATAATCAGGTACAACAAATAACCATGTTAAAGTTTATGCTAACCATGGTAATAACTGATAAAAGATTAGCAAACAGAAGAAAGGCAAATAATGTCCAAAATGATGAAGATTAATGTACAGCCATTCATTAGTTGAAATTTCTACTTTCAAAAAGACCTTTTTTGAGGCCTACAAAGGGAATGGTGTTTTTGCATTGGAAGAAGGCCAAGTAAACCAAAAACACACTCATTTCCCATTAGGAATATGCATTAACTAATTAATATTAAATACAACCTATGTTAATGTAACTAAAATTATATGAAAAAATTATTATGCATTCAAGCTTCTATAATGGTATTAAGTAGCATTAAAAGTCAAATTTACTTACACTGATATAAATAACAGTAAATTAGTAAAGTGTTCTAATTGCTTACTTTACATATAATAAGCATCCCTTAAATGATATGAAATACTGTAAGTTTTATTTTTTTCTTATATACATGGAAGAATTAAGAGTTGAAGTACAGTCTGAATTTTTTTTTTGACAGGCAGAGTTAGACAGTGAGAGAGAGAGAGAGAGAGACAGAGAGAAAGGTCTTCCTTTTTCCGTTGGTTCACCCCCAAAATGGCCACCATGGCCAGCGCACTGCGCCGATCTGAAGCCAGGAGCCAGGTGCTTCCTCCTGGTCTCCCATGAGGGTGCAGGGCCCAAGCACTTAGGCCATCCTCTGCTGCCTTCCCGGGCCACAGCAGAGAGCTGGACTGGAAGAAGAGCAACCGGGATAGAACCCGGCACCCCAACCGGGACTAGAACCCGGGGTGTCAGCACCGCAGGCGGAGGATTAGCCTAGTGAGCCACCATGCTGGCCAGTCTGAATTATTGTGAGTAAATTAATTCAGATTTTTCATTTCTTACTCTACTCTAGAAATTATTCAAGGTAGTTTTTATTTCTCCATATCAAAGACAATTCAGAAATTTTTGAAAGTTACTTCACAGCAGGTACATAATTTAAAAATGCCTGTCTTAATATCAATCATTAATTAACAGTAAATTGTGCCTATAAGCAATTAAAAGACTACGATCAAGGTATAACTTCTGAATTCTACTTTATTAATATTATAACCTGTTATATTGAATATTCAAAGTGATATATTTTTTAAAAACCAAAGCTATATTTTTTATCTGAAAATTTATTGTTCCTGGCATGTAATATACTCATCCTCCAATAATCAGCATATATGTATCAATAAATCTTCAAACTTATTTGCCTAGCAAATCTAACAATTGTTATCCTTTTAATATTTTTTTAATTATTTATTTGAAAGTCATAGTTACACAGAGAGAGAAGGGAGGCAGAGAAAGAGAGGTCTTCTATCCACTGACTCACTCCCCAATTGGCTAGAGCTGCGCCAATCCAAAGCCAGGAGTCAAGAGCTTCCTCTGGGTCTCCCATGTGGGTGCAGGGGCCCAAGAACTTGGGGCCATCTTCTACTGCTTTCCCAGGCCATAGCAGAAAGCTGGAGTGGAAGTGAAGCAGCCAAGACTTGAACCAGTTCCCATATGGGATGCCAGCACTGCAAGTAGTGGCTTTACCCTCTATTCCACAGCATTGACTCCTATCCTTTTAATCTTAATATTTATGTTTTCCATTCTTATTCTGAATTTTTATAATTTTGTGCAGACAAAACTCTCTTACTAATCAGAAACATTATAAATAATAAGACTTTTGTAAAATATGCTGAACAAGGTAATATAAGGTTTATGCCAAATTTTTCATATGCTTGCACAAACTTAAATATTTTCCTTAAAAATATATGTCATATATTTAATCTCAATTAGAGAATAATGCTTTAAAGGAGGGCTGTTTTGTCTATTAACTTTTTTTAAAAAAAATTATTCATTCATATTGCTCCGGAGTTGGATACAAAGCATTTCAGTAAACTTCATTTATGCATGCCTTCAGTTATTGAAGAAATACACACCAAAGCCAATTTTTTCCAACCACTTGTGCTAGACATAGGTTGCACAATGCTGTTCAAGTTTGATATGGTCTTTGATTACATGGTGGTTACCATGTAGTTAGTCTGTCTGTCTATCTATCAATCTATCTAATCTGCCTATCTATTCTAGCTGCATTAATGAAAAGTCTATGTGAATTCCTTAGCCAAGGCCATGACATGAAAAATAAAATAAAATAAAAAAAAAGAGTTGCCTGCCAGAAAACCAAAAGCAACTCTCAAGAGAGTCTCTCTGTTGAAATAGTCCATCTCATTATGGAAAATAATGGCGAAAATTAGTAACTGAGCAAAACACAGTACACATGCATCTTTGTGGTTTCTGACCTTTTAGTTTCTTCAAAGGGAAGACCACAAACCTTTCAGCATCACAGATAGTATTAATGTTGAGTAGAAAATAATATCTTTGCATACTTTATTCTGTTTTTCTATAAAGTAATTTTCTTTTCAGCTTAGTCTAATGGATTTTCTGGTGAAAATATTTTGTACTGAATGATGATCCTGTGATGACCGTCCTAATCAGGCTCATTTCTCTGATGCATATTTACCTTTTACTCTAATCATGATAAAATTCCACATCCATTTTTATTCATAATGATTTCTTAATGACACACGTATTCACATCTGGCTGGACTTGAGTTTTCAAGTCTTTGCATTTCTATAGGGAAAGGGAAATTAGGGGAACAAGGTGCAAAGATGATTGGAAAAATATCAAAGGGGCTATCGCAGCATCTCAAATGCAGATTTCTGAAACATTGTCGGAGAGACTGACAAACAGCCCCTGGTGTAGTTGAGGCAGTGTTCACATAATCACTTTTATGACCAAAATCTTCTCCCAAATTGGCTTTAGACATAGAATATCATATTTTTGAATATGTGTTAATGAAGTAAGGTTAATGAAGGGAATATATAATCAGGTGAGAAAGAAATAATTAAACAAAGTTAAAGAAGATTCCAAAGAGGAGAGAAAACAATGTGTCTGTTCTGAGCAGATATGAAGAAACTCATTATTTATAAAGCTGTACATTGTCCAGTCTTAAAGCATAACATAAAAACAGCAGATGACTCAGATAGGATCTCTACCGAATCTATTTCTTAATGTTTTCCACACATTTTTAAATGAAATGAGCATGTATTTGTGCTGAGTTGACATGTGGGAGCAAAAGGGAGTTGTTGCTAGAACATATCACAGTTTTATATCTTCTTCACCATGGGCTAAAATTTTCACCTGTAGAGTCTCACTTTTGAATGTTGTAGGGCATTGCTACTAAAAGAAAGTATATTTGGCACAGGGAGGGATAGGTCTTTAGAACATTGTATCATTTACTAAAATTTAATATACATTTATACATATCCATTTACTTCATATGACAAAATGTTTGAAGTCTGCTATGTGCAAGAGAAGATACATTCATCTTGCAAAACAGAGGTCACATAAATAAATAGAGCTGAAAGCTGAACTGTGACAGTAAAAAATAGGAGGGGAATTAAAAAAAAAAAATACAGGCCTGAAGGAGTCATTTGAACCGAGGGCGAACAAGACTGGTGGTGCAGGTTAATAATATTTTAGAAACCTGAAATTATTTAATGTCTCTGATTCCCAATTTCCTCACCCATAAGATGAGGAAAATAAATAGCTCCTGGTGTATAGTTTATATGTTTGATACTATGAGGAAAATAAAAACTTCCAAAAATAGCAAGCAAAGGCAAAACATAAAATAGGTTCATATTTGATTTTGACAATGTGGCCAAGGGTTGGTTGGGAAAGACATCCAAGTTATCTAACTTTGAGAGTTGGCATTGTGGTGCAGTAGGTTAAGCCACTGCCTGCAATACCAATATTTCATATGAATGCTGGTTTGAGTCCCAGCTGCTCTACTTCTGATCCAGCTCCTTGCTAATGCGCCTAGGGAAACACTGCAAAATGGCCCAAGTTCTTGGGCACCTG